TACAAATAAATGCTTATAAATTTCTTGTTAACCTATATTATTATCAGATGTTGGATTCAGTCTTTGTATCAACTTTCTTTTTACCAATTAGCACAGGCTTTGCATTTCTTTTTGGAACTGACTGATCATAGGCAGTCAGATCTTAGCTTATACACCTCCAGTTTTTGAGAAAACATTGCCAAAATTATCCACAAATAATGCTTTTTTCATGCATGAGATGCATAAGCTCAGTTCAATGAGGCCTACAAGAAAAACAAAACCTGAGCTAACAAAGAAATCAGGTTGTCAAAAAGATTGACTCTTCAATCAGAGTCTCTTCCGCGGCTCGGAAAGCTTTCAACTTGTTTTTTTAGTCTCAAGCAAGACTGTACGACATTCACATTACATGATTTGACTTTTTTTTATGTAGAAAGAGCGACAGCACATCGCATTAAAATAAATTATCATTCATGTTTTCATAACCGCTGGCCAAATTAAAAAACGAAACTAAAATTAAATCATCTTTGATAGCAAGGGGGCCCCCTGGTGTTTCGGGGGCCCTACGCAGCTTGCGTATTTTGCGTATAGGGAGGATCGGCTCTGATTTTGAAACATTGAATACAAAGAATTTATGACACAAAATGAAGAAAAATGCCAGATTCCGAACAAGATGCAACTTATGTATAATGCACAATTTATACAGTTCACATTAATGTTTACTCACAGGGTAAACGGCTGGCGTGCCATGGCACTGAGCTGGTGAGGTAATCTCTCTGAGATGCTGTAATGATTACCCATGTTCCCGTGCGGTACAGGAAGCTGACGACCTGCACGCCATCACTGCCTGCTTTGCTTTGTGCCAGCAGAGTCTGGTTACCACGAACAGCAATAGCAGCGTTGACCAGGGGTGAAAGATCACCGCTGTCAAACACCTGGACCCTCACCTGCACCTCTGAGAGAGATAAAACAAGTTCATATGACCAGATGCATAGCAAGAACATCTTCTGACACGTTTAGATTCAGAAACAAGAAGTCAATAATAAGAAACCTCAATTATAACCAGATCTATGGCACACTAAAAGACTAAATGCATATAGAAATATCTTAGATTTTTAACACAGATAAATACATGGTTCTCATTAAAAAGAATACGAGGTAGCTTTCATTTAGCATTCACAACTCACTCTGAAACAATATAGACAGCTAAAGTAATAAATTAGCACATTCATAATCAGCAGTCAGTGGGCCTCAGCAAATCTTAGATTTGTATAATTGATATACACACAAAAGCTTAAATGTGCTATTCCAATAATGTGCACTTATTGTTTTCTGTCTATAAAGCCATGCGATGCATTTTGAGTAACATTCGTCAAAATCTGCATTTCAGAATTTGCATTCAGGAATCATAGACCGATGCATACAAATAATACGATTTTGCAGTAGCATTTGGCTCGCTTGCTCGATGTTTTGGGCATAAAATAGCCCACCGCTCCCTCATCCAGACCCGCTATGCGCCCCTTTATTCTCTACTCACCGAGAGCTTCCCTTTCAGGGATCGATTTACCAGCTGTCCCTTTAAAAACGGAAAAAAATATAAAGAAGAGAAAACGAGAGACGAAAAAGGATGGCATCTTCAAAGCTACATCGCTGTTTTCACCTCGTCGGCCATATGTGGATGTGTGTGTGTTTTTTCAGACATGGTTGCCAGCATCCTTCAGTGTGATGCGGGATGCTGCGCTGCTGCCGCCTCTCATTGTCAGTGGAAGAGGAAAAACAGCGGCCTCGCGTGGACAAACATTTAAATAAACCTACAGCAAATTTGTAGTAGGCCTATCTACTGTTTGTTTTGGGAATCTGTGCTGATTACATATAGAGAAGACCGCGGAAAGTTGGACTTCATGTCAGTAACTATAAGGGTTTGAGTCAAAATCTTTTTTGGTTTCAAACGCCTAATTCAAAACTTTCTTAAAGGAATAGTTTATCTGAAATGTAAAATATGCTTAAATTTCCTCACCCTTTGGCCATTAAAGATGTAGATGAGTTTGTTTCAACAGAACAGATTTGGAGAAATTTAACGTTACATCACTTGCTCAGCAATGGATCCTCTGCAGTGAATGGGTGCCGTCAGAATGAGAGTCCAAACAGCTGATAAAAACATCACAATAATCCACAAGTAATCCACAGCACTCCAGTCCATCAGTTGACATCTTGTGAAGTGAAAAGCTGCGTGTTTTTAAGAAACAAATCAATTATTAAGACGTTTTCACTTTAAATCGTAGCTTCGTCCTCTATCCATTATATTGCTTTCTCCAGTGAAAATGTCTTATTCAGGAGAGAAATATGCATAGATCAAGCAACGTTTACAAGCAAAAACAGTCCAAAACAATCTAAACAAATATGTGGGTGGATTTTGATGTGAGAGGACAACAGGATATGGACTTTTTCACTGGAGGAAGTGTTATCGGACTCGTATTTTAGCCAGAAGTGATGGCTTAAAGTTAAAAAGCCTTAATGATGAATTTGTTTCTCACAAACACGCAGCTTTTCACTTCATAAGATGTTAACTGATGGACTGGAGTGGTGTGGATTACTTGTGGATTATTGTGATGTTTATATCAGCTGTTTGGACTCTCATTCTGACGGCACCCATTCACTGCAGAGGATCCATTGCTGAGCAAGTGATGTAACGTTAAATTTCTCCAAATCTGTTCTGTTGAAACAAACTCATCTACATCTTTAATGGCCAAAGGGTGAGGAAATTTAAGCATATTTTACATTTCAGATAAACTATTCCTTTAAGAAAGTTTTGAATTAGGCGTTTGAAACCAAAAAAGATTAATTTTGTGTTATTGGATTTTGACTCAAACCCTTATAGTTACTGACATGAAGTCCAACTTCGGAAGTGTTATCGGACTCGTATTTTAGCCAGAAGTGATGGCTTAAATTTAAAAAGCCTTAATGATGAATTTGTTTCTCACAAACATGCAGCTTTTCACTTCATAAGATGTTAACTGATGGACTGGAGTGG